TTTATACGTCTTGTCTTTCGTCTATATGCTTACTGAAACACTTTTATTTAAAATAGATATGGCCGTAGTCGTGGTTCTAAAGGGCGTAAAGTGATGAAGAAGATCTTAGGGTTTAGTTCGTTGTGTTGCCTTCTCCGTCTATCACGTGCGTGGTACTCAGTGATATTATTATATTTAGATTCTCCCCAGCCAACCGCCAGCCCCGTACCGACCGAGTATCTACATGCCTAAGTATGTTTGGGATTTATCAACTTACGAGCTTCTGACGGTGGAAGAACGTTCTATTAGTAGGAAATACCTGTTGTGTAATTCATATAGGGTTATATAGTATATACCCCTTGGTTGATGATACCAGGCCTACCTCGACAGTCGTCATTCGTCTCTAGGTTAATAGTAAGTACGCGTGCAGCGTGCTTTGGCTTTATATTTGACACACCACCCTCTACGCTCCCAAGCTTCTACTTAAGACTTCATAGATTCCCAGCCGAATATTGCCACTCTTCCAACGTCTTGTATCAAGATCCGATGGCGCATTTGAAGTGCAACCGCTGGGAAGTGCTACAAGTCTGATGTATGTATGATTAGACGTCGTTTGCTTCGCTTGTTTGCTATCTGCATTATTTATCTTTAATTGACCTGTATCCTTTATTCATATTGTATGTATTTTAGTTAGTAAAATCCTCATTCGTCGATTCATCTACTCGTTAGAGTATAAGCTAAGAGATATTCTTAACTGAAATTCGGTTTTCAAGTACTATTACGAAGCAACCATGATATATGAGGCTTTATGTTTCACACTAAGTCTTCATAACTATTCAGTGTTTTCCATTTTCCATTCGATCATAATGCATTAGAGTCGACTGCTGTTGGAAAAAGACACAAAAAGATATACACCGAAGGGGAATCGAACCCCTGCCGCTTGCTTATACAAATTCTTGGAAGGCAAGCATGATAACCACTTCACCATCGGTGTTGTCGAAAGCATAATGATACAAACTGCCACGGCTATCACGATGGGACACTCGTGCCAGAAAAAAGTAACTGGACACCACGCTTTCTTTTATTTCTCCTGGCATTCATTACGGCCTGTATATCTGTATATATAATATAATCACTAATATCTTGACCCCAAAATATATTATCACGACATCCCATTTGAGTGGTAAAATTACTAGAGCTGAAAATGAGGAATTTTGTGAATGTGAAATTCTGGACTAGAAATTCTAATGGACTGTAGAATGGATGCAACTAATTAACCCAGTGATTTAAGCATTACTTTATGTGCCTTTTTCATGATATATGAGCCTTGGAAGATGCACATTTTGAGAGATTTATCCGTGGGAAACCCTTTCTGATGGGCTAAAATTACCAGTTTGAGGCCAATAACTGCTCACCAAGTGGTCTCTAAAATTGTCATTCAAAAGCAAATCACATTCTAATATACACTTATATCTCATATTGAAAAAACTGTATTTGAATACTTAGAAATTGGGCAAAGTAATTAAGGGTGTATGAGGTAGATTTTGATTTTCTTGCCAACGGATGATTCTATAAGCCCAAGAATTTCGATACAAGAAGAGTGATCCTGTCAGGCACGTCAACACAATCTACTAAGAAAGTGCCGAGGTCGATACGCAAACTATCAACTTAATAGAAAGAGAAGGGAGAGGAGTGAGGAGTAGAGACCTTTGTATTGGCAGTAAGAAATGACCAGCTAAAGACTACAGAATAAGAACGTAAACTACTACTATATATACTAGAAGACCATGCACATAAGGTGCGACTAAGTCATGTCAAATAATGAGGGAAACATGTGTAAGTAATATATCTACTGTGCTCTGCGGCTGCGTACTGCGGACATGTGTTACAAGCATGTATCTAATAAGAGATCGAAATGAAATAAGTACTACTACTGTATGTTATCCTCATGTCGTAACATGAGCTGTTTTGTTTGTCTTTGTCATCGAAATTATAGAAACTGTTCCAGTAATTAGAAAAGAAAAAGAAAAGAATAATCAAAATAAACGGTTCATGACAGATCCCAATGGTTTAACTTGTACATACAAAACTTAAGCCTAAAATGACTTGCTGAGAAGTAATCATAGCAAACATGGTGTCTGGTTACTTTTTTAAGCGTGAGTATGCCACATTAAATGATAGTTAAATGATATAGAAAAACTTAACAAATGGAACGATATCAACCGAAGAAGATTATTAAATGCAACCTACCAACAAGATAATTGGTGTGGAGGTAGTCGCCAGGCGGATCGTGATGGTGGTCGGCCTTGCGATGCTGTTAGTCGGCCTTGCATTGTGCACTGCCTATCATCCCAGGGGTGTTTCTGAATCTCTGTGCTTTATTGAGTAATTCCATTACTTCAACACCTCTCAAATTACATTTACATTTATATAAACTCCAAACTGTCCACGAACTATATGTATCCTCTAACCTAGATTCATCATTTCTCGTTCTTTCCTCAAATGCAAAATTGTCATCTCCATACTTGTCAAAATTATACTATCACCATTTATATGTTGATCATTCGGACCAGGACTCTTCATTGAAAGGGTCACTTGAACGTCGAACGCCCGAGTCTCTCTCTTCAAGAACAACCTCATAGGGATCAGAATCCAGAAGTTTAGGAACCATCCACAACCATCAGCAAGTCCATTTTCCGCTTCCAGTAATTCTAGCTGCATCTCGTATATGATACCAGCAGCCTTTGCCTGTTGCTCAGCTACAGTGGTGGGAACATCGAAAGTGAGGTGCCAGTCGGAATCAATGTGGATACCTCGTTCAGGACTGACGGAGGTAGGGAAGTCTTTCTGGTACTTGGTCACAGCGCCTGAGTAGCGCACTATATGGTCAGCGTCTGGGTCTTGATCGTAGAATGCAGTGGGGGTAGGTATGCCCAGGCAGCTAAGGTTGAGGATCTCAATCTTTGGATTGAGATGAGATATGTAAGACCATAGGCTCTTGTCTTTAGCGACAAGGAAGAGTCTGGCTGAGCACACTGCATAGTCGCTGTGAATAGGATAAAGGTGGTTAATATGTCTGGCTAGCATATGAGAGTGAGAAACATACTCGTCATCCATATCCCAGAATACATGATGAGACAAATTCTGAAAAGCGATAAACAAGCCAAAGTCAGTGGCATCGAAACAGATTGGGAGAGGTGCACTGGGACACTCGCGAGTCAGAAGCTCTTCATCTGCCTGCCTCAATACAGAACGAGGTAGCCTCTCTGGAAAGAACGGAGTCGGCACAAAGGGATCACAAAACGCAAACGAATTTGGGAGGGACGCATCTCCAGATTTAGAGCATTCGTACATTGTTAGCCCCGGAATGGCATCAAACATAGCATGCTCCGCGGTCACAGGAGGGCTTGGGATCGATGGGATCGCGTTGACATCCAAGTTCTGAAACTCAGAATCAGCTTCTGAAGTGTTAGGAAATGCCACTAACAGCAACTCGGTCATGAGGTTAACTGCGCTACCGGCGTGTTGCACTTCAGGAAAGGTGGGGACGAGTTTATGGTTCCCTGGGATTTTGAGCCTGTCCTTGAATGTCTTCGCAGTAGTCATCTCCGTAGCCAGCTTAGAGGGCTCAAAGTCTTGAGCGAGCTGTGTCTGCTGATGTCCAGGAAGATTCACCATTGATGTCATCAAGTAGGTATGCTGAACATTCTCATTCGACTGAGGGTCTTTCTCGGTGGTGTGTCTGCACCCACCCACAACGCCTTTCAGTGAAGCTAACAAGGACGAGCTTTTGCGTGGTGGAGCGCGAACAGTATCGATCGAAGTGGTTGAGCTTGTACAACGCCGAGCGCGTGCAACTTCACCACTTAACACATCAGCGTGGCTGCTGGTTGTCAATTGCACTTCACGAGAGCATTTCCTGGGGTATGACGCGTCAATGGATGGCACGTCCGACACTCTTGAGGCTGGATATTCGGGATTGTTATTGGATCTTGAGATGCTTGTGGGTTCAGAGATGGTAGGCCTTGAAGCTGCCTTCCTCCTGCTCTTTGACTTTTCCATCCTGCTTTTGATCGATGATAGAAATTTGTATGCAGAGAGGATGATTCTAAGAGAGAGAAATGGTTGAACTGGCCGTCCCTGTTATATAGCTCAAAACGATGTGGCCCATTGGCAAAGCATTACTTGATTTGTCGGACAATAGTCATTTTGAGTGGCACTGATCTCGCTGAGGCCTTCAAACATCTAGATTGTGCACCTGAATATGGACCTGCGGTTTCATCGAGGTTTGTGCTGGATGGTGGTGATGAATGGTAGTATGGTGGTGGTAGTCAAGTAATAGAATTTGGTAAGACCCGTCATTACAATAATACGTGCCATCACGCCTCTTTCTCAACAACCACAATGATCTCGCACCACATTCTTGATTAGAGCCCGTTCGACAGTTTCTCTCCAAAGACTCATAACGGACTCAAATCCAGCCACAAGCAAGAACACTTACTCGTAACCTGGAATGCCAACCTTCAGAATAACTCGATTTTGTAAAGCCAATCGATTCCTACCTCGTAGAGGTCAGTTCCGGACAATGACCCACACCACTAAATACTTTGTGAGGTTTGGAAGTGTAGCTGGATGCTAGCTTCTGCTCATCAACAGACGCAAGGGTGTAATCATCCACTAATAACGCGTAGTCGTCAGTTTGTCGAAGTTCCTATACCTTTGCCTTTCGAACTTGAAGATTGGTTCTCGTTTCACATAAGTATGTACTCCTTGGATACGATCCCGATCCACCATTTGGCACACCAGGTCTATTTTCTTCGACACGCTGATAAGTCACATACCAATGCTGCAACTGCTAACCAGGGGCCATGAATGGCGGCGATGATGAGCTCAAATGTGAGGAGAATGTGGGTCTCGTGTCATCATCCCGATGATCGTTTTCTGCATTTCTGGAACTTCTGTTTGCTCGCATATCCATCTTGGCACCTCTTGGCACTTGCCCTCGAGACTCGAGTCGAGGGAACCTTACAAGCAGCAGCAGCGGTCCCCTTTTTGTACAATTCTCTGAAACCTCGCACTGAACGCGCAGAAAACATCGCGCAATGCACGCTGCTCAGCTCCGTGATTCTTTGATCAGAATTCCATTGCATGCTCATACTACAAGATTGATTCTACCATTTTAAAGAGGGAGTAGATTTTTCACCATCCATTATAAGAGGAGTTGGGAGGCCATCTCTGCAGGTTTGTGGAATTACGATTTATCCATTTGCTTCCGTTGGTAACCAATGAACGGACCTGTGATACCATAAACTTCCAGAGTGCACAACATGCAGAGGAAGACAATTTCAACCCTATCACTCTGATCAATAATTTCAGATAATAAACTGGCATTTAATCTTTTCAGCATGCTTCGCAACGTTTCTGATAATTATCGCCATCTCGACAGGGTGAACTCTTCACCATCAACGTGCACCACACAAGTTACATCGATCAGCTGAATATCCATATGTTGGCTAATGATGCGCATGGAAACCGGGGCTCGACTCTCGAAGGCTCGTTAACGTATATAAGCCAGTCTACAAAAGCCATTCCACCTTTCCCTTCTTCTTCACCCGACCTGGCATCATCTTTCTTTCTCTAAACCTGGTGTCTTTTCCTAGTCGACCTCTTTCTCTCATTTTCTTCTCTTCATTCTTTGTTTGAAACTAAAATCCCTGTTCACATACAACTCAATATTATTCTTTTGAGTTTTCTTCAATGGCGCGTCTTTCAAGCTTCTTTTTCCTTGTCGCTTTAGTGGCTTCTTCTGTTTATGAAGTTCAAGCTGGTACGTACCTACATTATTCTTACTCTCTATTATTAACAACTGGCTATTGCATCCTTATTATTAGCACCTGCTAGCACCCGGGTTACTTCCAATCTCACATGTAACGCTGCTCATGCCAGGACCGTGAGTGGCCTCACAGCGACAAACAGGGCGTTGAAAAGAGTAGC